GCGCACCACCGTACCTGGATAATTTTTGTATTTTTAGTAGAGATGGGGTTTCATCATGTTGGTCAGGCTGGCCTCAAACTCCTGACTTCATGATCCACCTGCCTCAGCCTCCCAGAGTGCTAGGATTACAGGCGTGAGTTACCGTGCCCAGCCAACCTGGCATGTCTTTCAAAGGAAAATAAGTACTTAGCTGTTTGAAGTGCCTAAAAGATAATCTGGGTGTCTTGAGGTGGAAGATATTGGAAAACATTTTCAAACACTTGAAGTCCTGAAGGAAAAGACTAGGGCTCTCAAGGTATTTATAAGAAAGATTCAAATCTGGGGAAGGGTGTTATGTAACAGAACAGCTGGAACTAAAGAGATCTATCTACATGCCAGACATGTGCTCAGATCTTTACAAACACAATTCAGTTAAATCTCCAGTTAATAGCAAAGGCAGTTATTGTCCTGGCCTCATAGATGAGGACAATGAGGCCCAGAAGACATAGGTACAAGGTCACGTGGCCGGAAGGTAACAGGATCAGGACTGTAGTCGAGGAAGAGGCCAAGCTAGCTGTGGGAGGAAACACATTCTGAGTAGATAGAGGAAGGCCATTTGTGACTGGCAACGCATGTCTAAGGTCCTTAGGAATTTTCGAATGAAAATCATGATGTTCCTCCAGGTCTCACCTGCCCTTTTTAGTGAAGTTGCTTTCACTGCAGTAGCATAAGCTCAGTGATGATTTGCCTGATCCACTGACAAGTTGTTCATGCCTAATTCTCAAAAGCACTAAACCTGGGGAGGCAGAAAGAGGGGTCCCACAAGTTGGGCATTTAGAACATCTTCAAGTTTCTCCACATTTTCCCAAAGCCAAAACTCTGAGGCCTTTCCTCATTACAGAAGGTAATAACTAAACCTTGAGCGTGTATCCTTCCAAATGGAAGAAGTTAGTTGTCTACTTAGAAGTCAACTTTGACACTTCCCTCTCCCTCAACCCCAACATCCAATTCATCAGCAATCTCCAGAATTCTACCTCCAAAATGCATTTGAAACAGTCCAATTTTCTCCATATCGACCCTAATCTAACAAGTATCATCTCTGGCTGAAATTATTATAGCATGCTAACTGATTTTCACCCAACCACTAGTTCATTCCCACAATACTTTAAACCAAATGTAAATTCTGCAATGGCGGGTCATTGCAATTAAGAAAAACTCCAATTAATTTACAGTGAGCTACAAGGTGCTGCAAAATTTGACCCCTGCCCACCTTCCAAACTTCCCCTCATGCCAGTTTCACCCTTGCTCACCATATTTCAGCCTTCGAAAGTATTTCTCCTTGCTAACTTTCCCTTCGGAGCTCCTCCATCCACATGAAACTCTCTTTTCTCAGCTTTTACATGACTGGCGCAATTCAAATGTCATTTCTCAGTTTGAATGTCACTCCTCAGTGAGTCACTCTCATTTTCCCTAGCCTCAGTCCTTCTTCATCCATTCTTTCCTTGCTTCCTAGTACTTGTGAAAATTTGCTACTATTTTAGTGGTTTACTTTTTGTTCTTTGGCTATCCCACGCATTTGACTCTAAGCTCCACAAGCGCAAAAGCTAATGTCTGTTTTTTGTCTGTGGAATGCATGTGTTTACTGTACTCTCTGGCTCATGTTCTCTACTCTCAGTGCTGTAATAAGACATTTTGAGTCCCTAAGCACTGTAAAAATTATAAAAAGTATGGTGCTTCCCATAAATAACGAAAAATAAAAACTACAGTTACAATAAAACTTATACTGAAATCAAACTGGCTTTTATTTGTAGAATTTCTGAATTGTAAAATTCTGGGAAAGGTCATTGAAACAAAAGTTTTCCCATTTCTTTGGTGTCCCTGATTTTTTGGTAACCTAGGCCCACGTGTTATCTGCCACGGTAATATACAACTCTCCAGGACCTGAAAGGGAAAAACTGCTTCTCATTTTAGCTTCAGAGCAAAGGTTTGTATTATCATGTAAATCTTACTTAATAAATCTGTAATGGAGCAGTGGTTGCTGCAAACATTATAACTCTTTTTGTACTGTTAGAAGAATTAATCCTCTGGCCTGGTTTCATTCATTCTTATCTCACACAGCTTGTCAGCTCCATAGCTATTGACAAGCCCTAATCCCCTAAGTAAATTAACAGAAGAAAAATGGAGGGAAGAAGTTGTGTGTTTATGTGTGTTGGGAGATGGAGAAGGCAGATTATTTTGACAAACAGGTAGGTGGCACATAATGGGTACCATGTTCTGTGCTAGGAATTAGGATTAAACAACATTTGAGCAGCATGCCATGTTCTTTAGCATATCAGGACCTACAGGCATATTCCAAACCACCTGCTTCCACTTCACCCCACAATCTCTCCAGTAATATCTTCCTTGGGATTCCAAGCTACATTGTATTTTTCTTTTATCTGCTGTCAGAGCTGCCTGATTTTCTCCATTGTAGTGCTCAACATAATTTATTTTAAGTAATTATGTAACCTCTCTTTCCTCTTAGACCATAAGCTCCATGAGGGGAGTTCTCATGCTTTCTGACTCACGGCTACATCTCTGATACTTAGTAACAGCACACAATAGCAAGTAGCAATAAACATTTCTTAGATTAAGTAACAATAAGTAAATGAATGAAATTTAACCTTGACCTCAAATGGCTTGCACTAAAATAAGAGAGAAAGACAAAGAAAAGAATATTTTCCTTTCACCACCATAAGTGTAGTTAAGATGCATCACGGTACAATGGAAACACTAGCTTCAATGCTAATCCTGGTATCAGTAAAGATGCACTGAAGGAGGTAATGGATAAGTTTTAAATGTTGAAGAATTGAGGCAAAAAAGGAACCTCAAGTGATAATAGACTGAGCAAACACCGAAGTGTCTACCTGCTATGCAGGAAGTCATCTGTCAGATCATTGGCCATAAGAGTGTAGAGTTCATAGGAGAGTTCTTCTAATATATTTGTGTACTGAAACTATTGATAAAGGACATACAATGAAGTCAGAATGAGATCCTTGTTCTTAGAAAATGCAAGAAGATCCTTACTGCTTACATTTAATGTTCTCTGTAAATATATAATATATTAATAATCTCTTATAAAGGAGGCAGAAGATAAACAACAGTCACTTATCAATGCCTTTGTTTTTGCCTTCTTTTTGGGGAAATCAGACTTTTGATTAAGTGTGACATAAGTATCTTCAGAATTCTTCATTATCTGTTAACAGCTGGTCTGCAGCCATAACAGCAAGCTTTTAGAATAATCCCAAGTGATCTGAGTGATTTGGAAACATCCAGAAAAATGTGCTAGGCATAACCATAGTTAATAACATTGTGTTTATAAGAATATTGATTTTTGTTTTATCATTTATTACATGCCAGGTGCTCCTTAACATTTTGCACACACAAAATTCAAAAACAACTCAATAGGACCACAGACTTTCAACAACCCGGGGAGTCACCTTGGAAGCAGATCCCTGAACTCAGTCAAGACTTCCATTGAGACTGCAGCCACAGCCACCTGTTTAACTACAACCTCATGAGACTTTGAGCCAGAAGCTGTGAGCTAAGCCACTCCCAGATTTCTGCACCACAAGCGCTATCAGATAATACTAAATGATATTTCACAGTGCAAACAAATCACACAGAACAGTAACTAAGTGGGGTAGGTACTGCTATCATGTCATACAGACAAACTGAGCCATAAAGAAATAAAACAACTTGTCCAAGGTCACTCAGAAGAGAAATGGTAAAGCCTGGACTCAATCAGCAAGTCTGTCTCCAGAGCCCACACTTTGCAGCTTCCTCCCATTATGCTGTATTATCTCCTGAGATTGTAATGCCACTTTGGAGCCAAGACCTGTACCCTGTGCTTTTTCAGACATCTCACAGAATTCAGAAGTCAAAGTTGGAAAAGTCCCAGGAGAGGCAGACAGTTTGGTCACAATTCATACTATTCTTAGAAGAAAATTAGTGTTTCCCAAAAAACACCATGCCTACCCACTGAGGATATGTTAGATAACTTCAGACATGACTAGGATATGTTAGATGACTTTCAACAGGTTAGATGATTTCATACATGAGCAAACATTTTTACTTTAATAACTACGTATTTTTAAAATCCATGTCAGATAAACATTATGTTAATATGCATGTGTGCTAAATAAGGTAATTAGTATAAGTATCTCAGAACTTAATTGTGAGAAATATCAACAGTATATATCTGAACAAATTATACTATTATAAATTACAGAACCATGATTCAATGCAGAAAGTTGTTCCTTTATTGATTTACTGGTTTATTCTTTGGCAAATATTTATGGGCACCTAATATAGCCCAGACACTAGTCACACACACAAAAAATAAAAATCCCTGCCCTCTCACAGTTTACATTCTAACAGGGAGAAATGAATAAAGAAATTTAATAACACACAAAAGAATACAGTATATTACTAATATATAATATAGTAGTAATGCTATACATATTATAGTATAGCATACCACATTAAACTATGCTATATTATATAACATACTGTATTACATTATCATATAGTATATTATTATTAATTTTATATATAGTATATAGAAAAACAGAGCATGGTAAGAGAGGGGATGGTAAAAGAGGGGTGTGATTTTTTTTTCTTTTTAAATTAAAAATTATTATAAATAAAGTTGAAGTCTTTGTTTTACTAAAAAAATTAAGAATTTGTTTTCATTTCCTTCCTATGGGTCCATCATCTCTCTCACTCTCTTTTTTTTTTTTTTTGAGATGGAGTTTTGGTCTTGTTGCCCAGGCTGGAGTGCAAATGGTGTGACCTCAGCTCACTGCAATCTCCGCTTTCCGGTTTCAAGTGATGCTCCTGCCTCGCCCTCCCAAGTAGCTGGGATTACAGGAGCCCGCCACCACACCCAGCTAATTTTTGTATTTTTAGTAGAGCCGGGTTTTCACCATGTTGGCCAGGCTGATCTTGAACTCCTGACCTTGTAATCCACCTGCTTCAGCCTCCCAAAGTGTTGGGATTACAGGCGTGAGCCACTGGGCCTGGACCATCATCTTTACCATGTCAATTTTCATTTATGTTCTGCTGAAGTCAGAGACAAATTTCACTTAAAAATGAATAAATAACAAATTAAATAAATCATAAATAATTGCAATAAATAAGGGAAAACTATTATTAAATAATGATAACAGTGCTACCTGGATGTGACCAAAAAGAAATAAGAAAGTCGTATTTGAATGGTTAAATTGGAGACTTCTTCAAATAGGAAATACCAAACTTTTCTCTCCACCGATTGCCTCCTTTTTTTTTTTTTTTTTTTTTTTTTTTTTTTTTTTTTTG